GCAACACAGTATGTGCTGCATTGTTCAGGTGACTGCATTTTGCTCATAGACATTACAGTTAACACTGCCTTGATGAATATGTCTGGCTAGTCTAATACTAGGAGCATATGGACCAGTAATACTCAACCTGTGGCCCTCAGAGCCCTCTGATGTGGCCCCCGACCTCAAACCAGGGAAGCACACTTCTATTATATTCTGTGGGTTTGGTTCTCTTTCAGAAATTGCACCACACCAACAAGATATTGCCAAAAGTATTGGGACAACACTCCAAATCATTGGTTTCGGGTATTCCAATCACCTCCATGACCACAGGTATATAAAATCAAGCACCTAGACATGCAGACTGCTTCTACAAACATTTGTGAAAGAATGGGTTGCTCTCAGGAGCTCAGTGAATTCAAGCGTTGTACTGTGATAGGTTGCCACTTGTGCAATAAGTCCATCCGTGACATTTCCTTGTTACTAAATATTCCACAGTCAACTGTTAGTGGTATTATAACAAAGTGGAAGCAACTGGGAACAACAGAAACTCAGCCATGAAGTGGTAGGCCACGTAAAATGACAGAGCAGGGTCAGTGCATGCTGAAGCACACAGTTGCAGAAGTCACCGAACTGTCTGCAGAGTCAATAGCTAAAGACCTCCAAACTTCATGTGGCCTTCAGGTTAACACAACAGCAGTGTGTAGAGAGCTTCATGGAATGGGTTTCCATGGCTGAGCAGCTGCATCCAAGCCTTACATCACCAAGGGCAATGCAAAGTGTCGGAATGCAGTGGTGCTGGACTCTAGAGCAGTGGAGACTTGTTCTCTGGAGTGATGAATCACACTTCTCTGTCTGGCAAACCAATGGACATGTCTGGGTTTGGCGGTTGCCAGGAGAACAGTAATTGTCTGACTGCATTGTGCGAAGTGTAAAGTTTGGTGGAGGGGGGATTATGGTGTGGGGGTTGTCTTGCAGGGATTGGAATTGGGCTTGGTCCCTTAGTTCCAGTGAAGGGAACTCTTAAGTTGTCAGCATAGCAAGACATTTTGGACAATTTCATGCTCCCAACTTTGTGGGAACAGTTTGGGGATGGCCCCTTCCTGTTCCAACATGACTGCGCATGAGTGCACAAAGCAAGGTCCATAAAGACATGGATGAGCAAGTTTGGGGTGGAGGAACTTGATTGCTCTGACCAGAATCCTGACCTCAACCCGACAGAACATCTTTGGGATGAATTAGAGTGGAGACTGAGAGCCAGGTCTTCTCATCTGACATCAGTGCCTGACCTCACAATTGGAGGAATGGTCAAACATTCCCATAGACACCCTCCTAAACCTTGTGGACAGCCTTCCCAGAAGAGTTGAAGTTGTTATAGCTGCAAAGGGTGGGCCAACTCAATATTGAACCCTACGGACTAAGATTGGGATGCCATTACAGTTCATGTGCGTGTAAAGGCAGGCGTCCCAACACTTTTGGCAATATAGTGTATAATAGAAGTCTATGGGAAAGCACAGCTAACTTGCATGAAAGCCGCAGGTGCACCTTGCTGCACCCATGGTGCGGGTAAACCTCGGCACACCCGTGTGAAAGCAGCTTCGTAGGGTGCTCAGTACAACAAGGGCTTGTTTACATTTGCCATTTGAGGGGTAGTAAAACCCCATAGTTGGGACATGTTTTTACTAGGGTTTCACCGATACATTGTTTTTTTTTCCTGGCGAGTACAATTACTGATACTTGTACTCAAGTACTTGCCTATACCAATTACTGATACCTTAGTGGTATCATGGGAATGGGCTCAAATCGCACTGCAAAGAATTGGAGAGAATTTGAATAGGAATGCGGTGTGATTTCTGTCCAAATCACATGCAGTTTCCCCGTAGGTGCAGTGTAACTTGCAGTGCGATTTGAGCCATTCACTTTACATGGCGAAACCACATGTAATTCAGAGAGGAATCACACCGCTTTCCTGTTCAAATCCTCTCAATTTTCCTCCTACAAGCACTGAAAGCTGGCTTCTCCTCCTCTACCTTCCACCAGCATTCTGCGGCTCCAGGAGGAAAATATTCATTAATCATTATAATGTTCAATATTCTGAACCATTTCATTTCATTGTGGTCCACGACCGGTTTCCAAATCACTCAAGTGACCCTCACTCTTCAAAAGGTTGATCACCCCTGATATAAACTATTTTTAGGTGTGCAATCACAATACTACAGTCGCTAGTAGTTGGGATCGATCACTGCACATTTGGAACAAATTATCCCTTTTAGAAAGAGCCACACAAGCAGCAAGTAGTAGCTTGTAATAGCGATTAATAGCACACATTTGGAGCAATTATTGGTGATTTGCTACTACATGCTATAAGTGTTCCCCACCCCATAGGGAGCCATTTGTTACATACGTGTAGCAGTCAATTACTACTAGCCATTAATCTCTAGAGATTTTACTAGCGCAGTCACACTACTAAAACCATCCGTGTGTTCCTTGCCTGATTTTCATCCTGATTGAAATTCGATGTGTGGTGGAAATTCGATGTGTGGTGGAAATTCGATGTGTGGTGGAATGTTGAATTGGAATATTCTGATATCATAGATCTAACTGGAACCTGCTACAAACCATGACATTTTGTACCTCATGTATATAAAGATCTCCATGCTTGTACAGAAACTGACATGTTTAATATTTATGTCTCTTGTTCATGTGATGACAGTTATGCTTTTTTTATGGGATTATTGAAAAGAAAGTCATTTGTGTTGAAGATATGGTCTCACCTTGATATAAAATGTTTCTTGATTTTTTTAAACATCCTGCTACTATTACATACATACTTACCTAACGCCAGTCAAAATATTTTTTGTTGTTTTGGATAGAGTGGGGAATGTTTAGAACTTCTTTTAGGCTAGGTTCACACCTATGCAGTTTGCGTTTGATTCGTTTCTGCAGTACTTTTTACAGTGAATTTTGCATTTTTGCACATGCGTTTTGCGTTTTTTTTCCAACTTGTTGCTGGGCAGATTAAAACGCAAAACGCATCAAAAATTTCTGCAGCGTCTCCATTGAAGTCTGTTGAACCAAAAACGCAACATTTTCCATTTAGAAAAGTTCCTGACCCTTTCCAAAAACCGCGACGATGTGAACATGTCCCATAGGAAATCATGTTAACTGGACTGCTGTGTGGTTCTGCAAAATGCAATGTAAAACGCATAGGTGTGAACCTACATGGTTTACTTCTTTTACTCCAGGATAAATGAATATTATCTAAATACAAGAGATGTGTATTCCTATTTTGAGTCTTGGTGTGCTTTGTGTATTACTTCCAGATATGTGCAGAAATCCAGTGTGAAACTTTCCCTTTGTTCAGGAACTTCCTGTAATAAAGACCGGTCACTGCTGCTCTCTTTCCTTGTGCTGGGTGATTGGTCTTGTCTCCGCCCCTCCTGTAGCTTTCTGTGGGCAGCCTGTAATAGGTGGAGCCAGCTGGATCCTTCCCACAGCTCTGATCTCTACACAGAATATGTACAACATAGCAATGATGTCACAGCCACTTATAATAATATATAGGGGTTTATAAAAGCATTTGGTGCATACACAGTGGATTTATATATTTTGTGGCTATTATGGGACTGTAGGCAGTATTCTTTAATCTATACAATAAAGACCACAACTCTTATTGTTTTGGTGCTAACTTGGCCACAGCCATTTTATTATTGGTTTAAATATCATTCTTTATAATAACACTTTATTTTTTACATATTAGCTTACTACTAATTGTAAAACATTATTACTTCAGTTAATCGTACTCAAAAACCCCAACTTAGTCACTACGACTCAAGCTGTACTTATTAACACTTATTAATCATACTCATTAACCATACAACTCTTTTCAATTTACATACTTACGTATTTTACAATCAGCAAATATGATACTTATCTATAATAATTGGCCACGACGAAGAGGGGCGGGTAGGAGGGGGCACCACAGATGCCTGCCAGGTTTCTGAAATTTCTGTTAATGGGCCTCCTTTTTATAGCCCTCTCCTCTCTCCAATTCTTCTCCCTATTGGTCACTTCTTCCTTCCAGGAATGTCCAGGTGTAGTGGGGGGCTAAAAACTCCCAATTCTAGAATCTTCCCCATTATATCATATACCTGGGGGGGGGGGGGGGGGGTTAACATTTCACAGGTGTAGTGGGGGGCTTAAAACTCCTTTTTTCTAGAAGCTTCCTCATTATACTGATATATCATGGGGGAACGTGAAACTTTGAATGGTTTTTTCTCCTCCTCATACCAGTGGGGGGACTAAAAACCCTTCTGACCTTCTAGAATGTTCCCCCACTGTATTTTACAGTGGGGGGCTTGAATCCTTATTTCCCTGCGACAGTCCCATAACAAAAGGAGGGGCCCTTATTTATTTCCCCTTTCTTTTCCTAAGGAATACATTTAAATAAAAAAAAAAAAGTTTTTGTGTCCAGACTGTGCAGAGGTCAGCTTTAAATTTTGCTTTTTGTGGAGATTTCCCCACAGTGATAACCAAGAAAAATCTGACAGAGGCTCTAATCCTTTCTGACCCTAGCTTCACATCTATGCGGGTGGTACCACTGTGGATCCGCACGAAAATCCGTGCAGCCTCACCACCCACACAGAGAAATGCGGACCCGCGGGTGGGCGCCATTAATTCTAATGGCACGCCGCATGCACTGGAAAACGTAACCGTACTGGGAACCGAGGTTCCCGTGCGGGCTGCGTTTTCCAAAGAAGTACAGGGACTTCTTTCCCTGCGTGTCACGGGCATGGGAGTCCTTTCAAATGAATGGGCTCTCGTGCCCATGCAAAACGCAGCCCACACTGCTGCATAGATGTGAACCGGGGGTGAGTCTCTAGGTTAACCTCCCTAACGGTATTCCTGAGTGTAGCTCGGGGTATAGTTTCAGTACCAAAAGCGGTAACCCCGAGCTACACTCGAGAATACCATGCAGCGTTGCTCAGGGATTCCCTGCAGCACTTACCTTGTCCTGCCCCTCTCGCGATGCGTCCCCTGCCATCTCTTCCGGCCGATGCCGGCATCCGTCTTCCGGGTTCCGGTCCCTGCGAGCGACATACAGGGGCCGGAACCGGCGGGAAATTTGAAGATTTTAAAAACTGACATTCACTAATACACTAAAATCACATAGTAAAACATTACTGTTTCAAAGCATTTCACATACATTTTGTCCCTAGTGCTTTGTCCTGTGCCCTGCCTGCATTTTTACTGTTCTTTCTGCCTAGAAACTTAGAAAAGTCCATGGGGTCCAAAAAGCGTCCCTTTATGTCAAACACGGTTTTAGACCAGCTAGAGAACAGCGATAGTAAATCAGAACCACTTGCAGAATTGAGTGATAATGATTCGTGGGGAAATTCGTCATCAGACACTGAAAATGATTTTGCGACTTTGCTCAGTGATGTGAGAACTTGGCGCTATATTTCAAATTTCAGTGTTTTTGGTTTGATTATATTATTGAATTTAATTTTTTTTATTATATTATATTATTTTTTATGATTATTTATTATATTATAATTTATGATTTCGTGTTTCAAGTTTTATCATACCCGGAATGTTTACTAGACTCTTGTTCGGACAGATTTCAGTGAGTTATTCCTAAAAATTACAGGCCTACAATAAAAAAACAACATATTTCCATGCAAAAAAATGTACCGCATTCAGCACAGAAATATGGACATAATCATACCACTAGGGAGGTTAAGCAATTTTTTTCTAGCATACTAGTGTGCACGAATAGTTTGAGGACTACATGTGGCTCTTGACAGCCTTCAGTATGGTTTTTAAAATCCTCTCATCAGGTCCCAGTATCTTTCTGTGTAAACACCTGCTGCAGTAAAACACTACAATAGAATTAAAGTGACAGTTCACCTATATGCAGATTGGATGCGGTTTGAACTGCATCCAATCCACATGACATGTGAAATACCATTGCTTCCTGTGGTGCCTGTTCACACATGTCCTTTGCATGGCCAGTGCTGATTCAGTGTGGTTTGAAAAAGAATCATGTACAATTTCTGAGAAGTGCCTTCAGGTTCAGGTGCAGATTACAGACTATTGACTTCTTTGGGAACAGTTTCTAAACTGCATATGTGTGAACAAGATAAAATCCTGAGCTAAACCTGTCCTGAACCTGATGCAAATCTGACATTAACCTGTGAACAACTACTATATCAATTAGGTTCAGGACAGGATTAGCTCAGGATCTTATCCTGTTCACACATATGCGGTTTAGAAACTGTTCCCATCGAAGTCAATAACCTGTAATCCGCACCTGAACCTGAAGGCACTGCTCAGAAATCGTACATGACTCTTTTTAAAACCGAACTGAATCCGCACCGCCAATGCACGAGATATATGTGAATAGACACCATAGGAAGCAATGTTTTTTCACATGTCATGCGGTTTGGATGAGGTTCAAACCGAATCCAGTCCGCATATATGTGAACCGGCACTTACACTAACTGTTCTTAAAAATATTTACTCCCCTGCCCTCCTACCTATCCTGCTGAAACTGTGCAATAAAGATCTATGTACTTACCTATTTTTAAGGTAGATTCACATTAGATGCGGTGAAACTACGTTGGGAAGCTATTCCAGTGCAGTCCCACCGCACTCCCACCACAAGAAAAGGAAATATGCATTGCCTCCCATGTGTTGCAGTGGTGTGCGTGTGCACTGAAAAAAGTACTGCATGCAATCACTGCACGCCAGCTAATGGATCTTTATAGAAGATCACTGTTTGACATTTCAATAAAGTTTGTTTAAAGAAAGAAAAAAAAAAATGGATTGGCACATCAGCACTGCTGGCAACCGCAAAGCACACCATCTGCTGCTTTGTAACTCAACGGCTGGTGTGAATGAACCCTTAATCCGCTCTGGTCTGGTATATTGATCCGGCATCTCTGTGTAAAGCTGACCATAGATGGGGAGAATTTTGAATGAAAATTCTTAGGAAAAGAATGTTCTAAGAAAGTATGTTTGTTTTTCTAATCATTAGTGGGTCAAATTTACATTCATTTTCGACCACATTGATGAGAAAATTCAAAAGATCAGGATGGAAAGTTTTGATCAAATTTCTAACATTGTATGTGGCTGTTGTTTGGTAAAGTCCATTCATTCCAAAATTAAATGTTAAAAGCAAACAAAATCTTTTGAACAATGTTTAAATGTTCTGAGAATTTTCGTACAAATTTTCCTAAAACTTTTCAGAAGAATTTTCGTTCAAAATTGTATCCATCTATGGCCTGCTTACGAAAGCACTCAACAATGACTGTGAATTCTGGGAGGACAACACTTATAGGCTCCTATAGCCCTCCTCTGCCCCGCTTCCACAGCTTACTGACACAGGGGAACCAAAGCTGCAGGATCATATGACCAAAGCGGACTAAAAAAAGGTAAGTATACAAATCTCATTTACACAGGGTAGGCAGTATAGGAATGGGGAGGAAGGAAAGAACTTTTTTTAGAAATTGTTAAGCCGGCCATATATGGGTCGAATTTTGAAAGAATTTTCTTTCAAAAATCATTTGTAAGAATTATTTTTTACATTTCGCACCATTAGTGGGCCACAGCAATGACCGATTTTTAAGTGAACATCGAATCTGAGTGATTGGGCATGTTGGAAATTTGTTTTAAAATGAACGAATTTCTAATCATTGATGGGAGAATCATGTCTTAAATGTAATCAAAAAAGAAATGAGCTGTGAGCTGTGACCTGGAAAGAAAAGAAAATTCTTGGCCATGAAAATTCTTTTCTGTAGCAACATGACGTGAAAATAAAGGCTTGGTTGGTCGAATTTAGAAATCAAAATTAAGTAAAGGTTTCCTCAGTATGTATCCTGTAAGGTGATTAGTAGACCTAAAGTTAGAGTACATCATTCTCACCTAGGTACCACCTCCTCTGCCCCACTGCCGCAGCTTTCTGACATAGGGGAACCAGAGCTGCAGGATCACGTGACCAGAGCGGACTAAAAAAGGTAAGTATACAAATCTTTTTTACACAGGGTAGGCAGTATAGGAATGGGGAAGAAGGAAATAACTTTTTTTAGGAATTATTAAGCCGGCCATACATGGGTTGAATTCCAAAAGAATTTTCTTTCGAAAATCCTTTCTAAGAATTTTCGGTAGAATTTTGCACCATTACTGGGCCACAGCAACGACCGGTTTTTGAACGACCATCGAATCTGAGTGATTGGGCATGTTGGAAATTTTTTGAAAAACAAATGAATTTCTAATCAGTGATGGGTGAATCATGTGTGAAATGTAATTGAAAAAGAAATGAGCATGAGCTGTGACCTGGAAAGAAAAAGCCTTGGTTGGTAGAATTTTAAAATTAATGGTGGCACCATCGGATTACAAAATGCACAAAATGTCTGATTTTCTGAAGAAAAATTTGTTCAGAATTAGACCCACGTATGGCCTGCATTAGTGTTAGGCAGGAATTCCACTTTAACTGTGGTGAAAATGCTGCACTACTGAAGTTTTTGGGTGATAGTCCACTTTACCTAACAATAAACATTTACAGGGGGTAGGAATTTATCAAAACTAGTCAAGACAGAATCTGGAGCAGTTGAGCATGGCAACCATTCAGCTTCTGTCTTCAACTTGTCCAGTTATGCTGGCCATACAGCAGCAGAATTTAGTTGATATTTTGTGTTTCAAGGAAGCTTGATCTTCTAATTTATAGTAGAGTAAAACCAGTATTCCTTTTTGTACTCAGTGAGAATGAAATTCAAAGGAGTGGGATGGAACTTTTTTGTTAAACAATCGAATTGCTAACTGTGCATGTGGTTTTCATTGGGGAAAGTCCATTCACTCCAAAATTTAATGTTAAGAGCAAACAAAAATTTTAAAGTGCTATTGAACGTCAAGTTATTGAAAGTACTGAGAATTTTCGTACAAATATTCACATAAACGTTCCTTTGACAATCTACTAGTGTAGACTTTGCAAATTAGGGGTAGAACCTGATTGGTTGCCATGTACTCCACATTCTGCCTGCTTCAGTGTTGATAAATTCCCCTCAAAGTATTTTTATCAGACATTAGGGGTTGATTTACTAAAACTGGAGAGTGAAAAATCTGGTGCAGCTTTGCAGAGAAACCAATCAGCTTCCATTTTGTTTGTCAAAGATTAATTGAACAAACTGAAGTTAGAAGTTGATTGGCCACCATGCACATCTTCACCATATTTTGCACTTTCCAAATATTAGAATATCACTGTTTGGTGTCATTTTAATGCAAGTCTGCTTGATTTCCTTTACAGCATGGCTGTAAAAACAGTCACAGTGTAAAAACACTGTACTGCTAGGGTGACGGTATGTAAAAAAAATAAATAAAGCCATAAATAAATAAATATAAAAATAAATAAATAAATGAAAATGTAAAAAAAACTTTGTTTTACATTTTTTACCAAAAAAGGTAGCAGAATACATTTTGGCCTAGATTTATGAAGAAAGATTATTTATTTGCAAAAGTGTATAAGAAAAATACTTAAAAAAAAAAAAAAAAATTGTCTTTTTTCATGTATATAGGAAAAAAACCCAGTGGTGATTAAATACCTCCAAAAAAAATCTCTGTCTAAATAAAAATGATAAAAATTTTGTTTGGGTACAGTGTTGCATGACTGAGTAATTGGCATTCAAAGTGTGAGAGCGCTAAAAGCTGAAAATTGGCCTAGACTGGAAGGGTGTGGAAGTGTCCGGTCTTGAAGTGGTTCAATCAACTTTTGTCTAGCTAGGTGGTGCTCGCAGGGCCACCTACAACTCAGATTTCAGCTAACTGGGAGGGAATGGCCCAAAATTTGAGCCATCTATGGGTAGCCTAATTGTGAATCACTTGTGATCTTTGTGGAGATGTTGTCTATAGCAACCAAATGGTTTCCCACTGCTAATTTTCAACCTCTGCTTTGGAAAGGATCTGTTGATATGGTCTTCATTTCTTATTTCTCTATTTTTATACTGTAGAGCATCCATTTTCAGCCAGGGTTCAGTGGAATCCTAGGGTTCCTCCAGAGTTTGGCAGGGGTTCCTTGAGCTGTAGCCGATTGACCTCCAGTTTGATGGTCCCTGCATAGTGTCTGGGCAGAGCCAGCTAAATGACA